ACCCATCCTCAAATCCTCTACTCATGATGGCATCTGTTCCCTTCAGATACTTCATACCCAATAGGAATTGCAATTTCATCAACTATTCTGCATCTCCTATGGTCCCCTTAGTCCATCTCTGTGCTTCTTATCAAAGTCCTCCTGACAGACCTCGCTATACTTGCCTACTGTCCCATTTGGGTGACCTAAGTCACCATCCTTACACTAGAAACACTGTAATGACTCATTCCCTTTATAAGATGTCCTTTGACAGGGAGGGAGGTTGTTTGGTTGGGTTTTGGTTTGATTTGGTTTGAGTTTGATTTTTGGTTTTTTGAAACAGGGTTTTTCTGTGTAGCCCTGAATGTCCTGGAACTCAACTCTGTAGACCAGAGTGGCCTTGAATTCAGAAGATCTCCCTGCCTCTGCCTCCCAAGTGCTGGGATTAAAGGCGTACACATAAGATGTCTTCTAAGTGGAGCTTCTCCCTTTGATCCCTGCATGTCAGGTTCATTTTCATCTCTAGACCTCTCTAGATCTCAGCTCAGTGGCCTTCCTTTCCCCATCAGCGTCACTCTTGCTCCCTCTGCTCTTTCCTAAGTCCTTGTGGGAAGGTCTGTGTGATCTGTCTTCCCTGCTTCTTCAATGCCACTAGGAATTCAGTTTTCTACTTTATGATTCCATGACATCTTAGTACTTTCAGAAGACTGTATAGCCAAAAAAGGAAGACCTGTCCCCAGAGACAACTGTGTAGACTTGAGCCCCTCAGGAAAGAAGCCATTGCTGTCCCTCCCCCCATCACTCACGTAGTCCACCCACCATTGTGAACTGTCACTTCCAAGAGCCCACCTTACCTGGTACATACTGCCCAAGCCTGCTGTGCCAGCTCTCCACAACCTTGACTTTTCTCCCTCTCTCTCCCAGGACCAGGATCTGGCCCAGGCATCGGTACGGGAGCTTGAGCTCAGAAGGAACTCTTTTGTAAAAATCGGAAACTGTATGGAGATTTCAGAGTCTGGCTTCCTTCAAAACTAATATATATATATATATTAGTATAATATATATTTTATATATATTAACACGTAATATATATAATATATATATATATATTAGTTTTGACAAACACAAAAGTGGTAATAAAGAGAGTCCTCCTCAACCCAAAATGTGAGCCTCCTGTGGCATCCCCTTCCCATTAACAAACCAACAGACAAAATCTCTTGAGTCCTTTGTCTCTTTTAATAATGTGTTATTCTGTTTTGTAATGTGTGTTTGGGGTTCTGAAGTGTGTGGGATTGAGTTCTCTGCTTTTTTTTCCTAAGATGTTATATGTAAATGTAAAAAGTTATTTAAATATATATTTTAAAGAACCCTAACCACCAACTTTTGTTGAAAAAGAAAAAAAGATCACTGCTGCATTAAATGAACCACATCATGTGTCGATACTGTTGTCTCCTTGGTGGGACCTCAGGCCTTTGAAAAGCTCAGGGTTACACCTGCCTTATTGAAAATGAACCAGAAACTTGAAGTAAAAAGCTAGTTGATAGGGGTACAAACTCCGAGGAACAGTGCAAAAGCTGCCTCTCCTTTTTCCCTTTTTTGAGGCAAATCTGGACTTCAGGGCTTCTGGGAAACCCTACCTCTCCTGCGCAAACCTGTAGGCAGCCATTGAACTGCTAGGAACAGGAGGGAAAGGGGAGGTGTCAAACCATTGTTGCCTATGTCCCAGGTTGTTGGGTAGCATTGTGCCCATTGTCTTCTGTTCCTTTGGGTCATCACCTTTGTCCCAGCAGAGTCCAAGACTGACCAGCCCTGTCACTAGGCCCTCTCCTGCATTCTGACCACTGTGGCAAGGAAGAGAAACTCTCACCCTTACTGTCCGGCTCTCAAGTCTTCTGTAAAATTGTTCTGGACTTCGTGCCATCAATTGCAGAGGTGATTTGAATGGGGTGATTTGAATGCAGGACAGACACCCAGGAGAAATGTTGCTTTGTGGCCTTGGTGTCCTATGGGACTGGAGAAACAAGCGCTCCTCTCACCCAGCAGCAGTATACCGCTCCTTGAAGAAAGGCATGCTGGGGCACACCTGTGCCCATGAGTCTGGGGGCAGCCACACCCCTCAGCTACTGCCCCCTTTGGTTGCCTTTCTAGGGGACATATGCTTGACCCATGGGGGTGTGCACTAAACTTCATTTGAACCAATTTTCCAACCCCAGCAAAAGGCTTCAGGGCTCTTTGGGCCTCTGTCTGGTAACTGTAGTGGCTCACCCCACCAGCAGAGGTCTGCTAGCTGTCTGCCTGATGCACTATTATGTACTGATTCTCCGCGAGACAGACTATCAGATAGTTCAGACCCAAAGGGTATATGTTTTTTCCGGCCTCTTCTTTTTTAAGGGGAAGGGAGAGTTTTTTAAACCCAAACCATTTTTGGTTGTTTTTGTCGTTCTTGTTGTTTTTAAGATGTTTTGTTTTTAAAAGGGAGAGAGAATTTATTGAAACCTACTTCAGGGATTGTAATCCTTTTTGTTCAATATAGTCCTTGTTCTTCAAAATGTTTTTCTTTTCCTTAGAGAAAACTAATCGGGTTGGCCCTGTGTCACTAGCTTTTCTGGTCACTTTTTATTTATTCATTTAGCCGATATCTTTTGCCATCAGAAAGAGTTTGGCCTAGTGGATCTGAAAGCTCAGTTACAGAATGGGAACCTTGAAACTGGGGGAAATAGGGACTACCCTATGTTACCAGAGATATAAATGACCCCTCTTCCAGTCAGACTCCAGGAAGTCAATCCAGGGGCCAGACTACAGAGTTTGAGACTATCGGACTGCTTTGTTCTTTAGAACCCCATCTTTAGATGAGGACATTGACTTATTTCTAGCCAGGATCTGACAGAAAGAAATCACCACATCAGGTGATCCAGCCATTTACCCTTTAGGAAGTGGTTTCATAAAAATCTGTCCTTCTGCCCAACTCTGGGGGTCTGTTGCTTGAGGGTTCCTCCCCCAGGCTGTGCTCAGTGCACCTGTTGGTGAGGGTGTGAGAAGGGCCTAAGCTGTTGACATGTGATCAGGGTTGCCTTTATTTCTGGGGCCAGGAGTTGCAGCTGCTAAGAACAAGAGCTTGCATTATTTTGCAGTGGGAATGGGGCACAGCTTTTAACATGTTTAACTGCAAAGCTGCAGCTTCTCACTGTCGAAATGTTTGTTTTTTCAGGTTGTGCTTTTTTTTTTTCATTTTTTGTGTCTGCATGTGCATATCTCTCCCTTGGCTGACACAAACCCCAGAAAGACATGTCTTTGCCCTGGCTAGAAAATCCCTTCTCAATAGTCTTAAGACGGAAAAGAATAGAGAATTTGAATGCCACTGGAAGAAGTCAGATGAACAGGTCCAGCTATCCTCTGAAAGAGTGGCGGTGGTGGGGGGCAAACACTTGGAGTTGTTATAGTTTGGGGGGTAGTAGAAACAAAAAGGAAGATTTAGAAGCAGTCACCATCTTTGTGTTCCCTCATCAGACCAGAACAAAGTCATCTGTCAAGTATCTCATGTCACCATTTCAATAAAAAGAAATTGTGTCTTTGAAGTTCCAAGTACCCTCTTTTGAGGAAGGGGAGGCAGAAATAGAACATCAGTAGTGTGTGGTAATTGCATAATCATGGACAAGGAGTACCTCACTTTCCCCTGGGAACCTTTGTACCATCTAAGTGTGTGTGATAGCTAGTATAAACTTGATTCCACCCCTGGGTGTAAAACAGTCATGTCAACTGTAGCATTCTAGAATCAGATGAAAATGGAAGTTAGGGCCTTCTGATCCGTGAGATACCTCTTCACAGCTCCTATGGCTAACGGTTCCTCTCTCCTCCAGTCCCAGGTCATTCTTCTAGGTTCCATCTTTAGTCCTGTGGTTCAAGTCTGCCCCTGTGTCTTCTGATCTCAAAGTTCACACAGGACTAATGTTTTTTAAATGTGGTCTATAAAAGAATTAGTTGAAAGTATCATCCTTTAAAGTGATCAGCCTTTTTCTGTTCCTTCCATAAACTTTTTGTATTGTTGGTCTAATGAGACACTTTTTTAAAAAAATTTTCTTCCATAGCACTTAAGATTTTTGTAAAGACTTTGCTGTAAAGGTTTTGTGATAAAATGATCTAAGGGCTCTATTCAACATTACCATTTGAAAAACTGTTTTTAAAGCTAGAAAACAACTTATGTATATTCTGTATATGTATAGCAACACATTTCATTTATGGAAATATGTTCTCAGAATATTTATTTACTAATATATTTATCTTAAGCCATGTCTTATGTTGAGAGTGTGATATTGTTGAAATAATCATTGAAAATGACTAACAAGGCCCTGTAAATACATGATAATTGCACACAGATTTTACATATTTGCAGACCAAAAATGATTTAAAGCAAGTTGTAGTCTTCTATGGTTTTGTAACAAATTGTACAAATGACTGTAAAAAAAAAATACAATTTTATCAAGTATGTGTTATATGTGGTCATTGCTGTGGTCGGCTAAAGTCTAGAGTCTGCTACTTTATACAAGCCAGTGTTCTGAGCACTATGTTATTCAGAGACTCCCTGTGAACTTCTGCTTCTGTTAAGAGTCCAAGTTATGGGGCGTTTGCAGTCATCAGAGTTGGCTAGAGTCTGTGGGTTTTATCCTTGCATAGCAGTGTGTTGCAGGAGCCTGAAGCTAGATGACTACAACTTTCAGGCCAGCCTGGACTACAGAGTGCATTCAAGGCTAACCTGTGCAATTCAATGCAACCCTGTATCAAAAAAAATAAGAAGTGTGCTCAGTATTCAGCCTGGTGATAGAGTGCCTGTCAGCAATCAAGGCTCTAGGTTCAATCCCCCATAGCTGCCTTGCCCTACCCCATATCCTCACCCCCCCCCCACACACCACCACCCCAAAATCCCAGCTGGGCATGGTGGCTTACAACTTTAATTCTTGTGCTTGGGAGGCAAAAGCAGGTGGATTTCTGAGTATAAGGCCAGCCTGACATACATAGTGAGTTCTAGAACAGGTCTATGTAGAGAGAGCCTATCTCCAAATATAATAATAAAGCCTGGGGACTTTGTCTCTTTTCCAAAGGAGAGTAGTTACTACACCTTGAGATTGGGTGAAGGATACAGTTTATTATTCAGACACACTGCAGAAGACACTCCAATCCTATGCGTTCCTGTTATTTTTCGTCTTAGCTTGGGCCATTCATCAGGGACAGCAGCCATACTCCCCACTCAGCTCCAGGTTCCTCTCTGCACTCCTGGTGGCAGCTGACTGTGCAGAGCTTCTTGGAGCCTTTGTTTAATGGCTTTACCTAGCTCCAATCTGTACCTCTTGGGGGTTTTAGAAGGATCTCAGAGCATGGGCTCCACCACAGCATGGTGCAGAGCCTGATACCATGGATGGTTGACATGTCCTCCAACTGCTGTCCCTCTTGGGTTTCAGGAAGCAACCTTCCAGGCTGTCATCCCACTGTCCCTGGACAACACTTGAGTAGCAGCTGCATATTTGGCATATCTATCCTCAAGATCTTGGCTGACTGTTATTTTTTCCTTTGAACTTTTCTTTACTCAATGCCAAGAAGAAAGCAGAGACGTCGAAGTTCAAACTTGGGAGCTCAGAATAATCGGGTTTGTGTCTCAGAATCTTCACTGCAGCAACAACCAGCATGTTCCTAGCATAGCCTAGTTACCGAATACCTTCACATATGGCACTGTTTGTCTTCTCTAGAACCCCGTGAAGTCCACTGAGACAGATTAAAAGGTGGGGAAATTAGAATTGGTTTGCTCAAGGCCACAGAGCTTAAGAAGCTCATAACCACAACTGACATCTATTGCATACTAAGCAGGCTCCTAATTATTTATTCTTTGCCAAACTGTTCAAAAGGCCTTTGCATCTATTAATTCATTTAGTCTTCATGGAACCCTGTGAGAGAAGAGCCAGTGTCAGTTTATATGATAAAATCAAGACAGTGGTTTGTCAGAGTTGGGATTTGAACATACGCTGAGCTCTGCTGGCCACCATGAAAAAGTAGAACTGGACTCATCAGGTTAGGTCTCTGGTGGCCAAGTTCTCTGAATGCAATTTCACAGGCTATTGGTACCTTAGGTGTGGATACATGAGCTAGAATTTTCACCACCTGGATATATATATATCTGTATGGTAAACTCTCTGGCTTTAGCTTTTCCTTTCCCAACCCATCTCATCACCACTGGCCACTGGTTACCTCTCTGATACGGCCTGCAGGCCCTCTGCTCTGGAGTGCCCAATAGCTAGCCTACTGGCCTTTCTTGTTCAATGTCTCTTTGTGCCTGTAACAAGTCTTTTTTTTTTTTATCCTGCCAGTCAACTCCCAAATAATGACACAGAGACTTTAAAATTATGAATGCTTGGCCTATAACTTAGGCTTGTTCCTAACTAGCTCTTATAATTTAACCCATTTATATTCATCTACGTTCCATCACATGGCATTACCTCTTCCTGTCTTCTCTGTGTCTCCTTTGGTCTCTACCTTTCTCCTTCCAGAGTCCTCGGTGTTCTAGAAGACTTCCCTAACCTCTTCCTGCCTAGCTATTGGCTATTCAGCTCTTTATTAAACCAATCAGAAGGTGCCTTGGCAAAGACATATCACAGTGTAAACAAATATTCCACAGCATACCCCTTTTTATCTAAATAAAAAGGAACGGCTTAACTCTAACCCAGTAAAGCTATATGTAATAACAATTATCAGGTAAGAATTACATTTACAATATGCAGTCTATCTGTAGTTAGCAATTTAGAGAAAATATTTATCCTATCTTGGTGAATTAAAAGTTTTCTAACTTTAAAACATTTAAAACCTTAAAACATTTTTTTAGATCAACAGCTTAAGCTTTTAGGTCTTTCAACCTTATATACTTTTTCTCTTTTGCAAATTTCTTTTTGGAATTTGGTAACAAGGAAAACTAACTATAACCATGATGGCTTATCCCATCATTCTTATATTATATACCCCTCCATTTTCCCTTCAGAAAGATTCTTGCCGGGCAGAGGTGGCACACGCCTTTAATCCCAACACACAGGAAGCAGAGGCAGGCGGCTCTCTGTGAGTTCAAGGCCAGTCTGGTCTACAGAGTGAGTTCCAGGACAAACTCCAAAGCTACAGAGAAACCCTGTCTTGAAAAAATAAAAAGAGAGAGAGAGTGTGAGAGACAGATACATGAATCTAATTAATCTCCTTTGTTCAGCTTTTTTCCTGACCATTACCAATAACAACTTGTAACCACCACCACTCAAAATAACAAACGCCTAATGAACAAAACCCACTCACCCCACCTTTTGGGAATGTGGGTGTTGTGTTTTCTAAACTGCTTCCTGCTATCTGGGGCAACAGCATCTTTAGGGGACCCTGAGAAAATTGGGATAACAGTCAGGTCCTGGGAGAGCTGGTTGTATCATTTTTTGTTTAGTCTTCGAGTGGTGAGAAAGTGTAGAACTTATCTGAAGTGCTGACTGGATAGTCTGTGAGGCTGGACCATCTCAGCTAGCAACTTTGAAGTTGTTATGGATGAGGAATTTTGAGGCGACTGCAACAGAGGCACTCTGAGAGGCTGGATCACCTGGGCTACTTCCTTTCTGGAAACAAAAACGTTTAAAGGTAGCAGCATGTGCCTTTCAGTATTATCCTATCTCTAGGCTTCAGTTCCTTGGAGGATTTTGCTTCTCTGAGCTGAGAAGGCATACTATGGCATTTACCCTTCCTTTGTCGTCTGAGCACAACTTTGACCAGAGAGAATAGGCTATCTGTGGCTCCTTACCACTTCCCGACAAGAGGTGGCACCTGGTGCTGGGGCCTTGCTGTTATGTTTTGTACACATTCTGACCACATGGATGTCGGCGAGGCTACACAGCAGTCCTGAAGCTTGGTGTTTAATGACATGGGTTGTCCATAGGTAGGGATGCTGGACTCTTGTCTCACATTAATTGGGTGCTAGAAATTTAAAGAGGGAGTGATTTTTGTTGTTAGAGAGCAGTTCCCACGCAGAAACTAGAAAGTATGTTAGGAACTGACATCATTTCACGTGCTATTCCTTTACCTCTGGTCTTAGCAATCTTGTTGGGGTTTGTGCCTCTTGCTCATCTAGACTCTATCGGCGAATCAATCCCACATCAGTTATGTTTTAAGGGGTTATTTATTTTGGGGGGTAAAACTTACATATATCATAAACCGTCAGGAAGGGAGCCTAGTTGCAGGAGCCGGGAGTAGGAGCCAGGAGCAAGCACCGGAACCAAGAGCCGGAACCAAGAGGGCCTGATCCGGATATGTTTCTCTTTTTAAAAGAGAAATATACCATGCCCCAGTGGGCTGGTATTTTAGCAGCTATTGGCTGATGGAGCGGAAGTCGCTCCCCGCTGCATTGTGGGCTCGTATTTTAGCGACTATTGGTTGAGGCAGTGGAAGTTACTCCCACAACAAGACTCTTTTATACCAAGTAAGGGAAAGATGTGAATTTTAAAAGGTCATAATGATATTTTGGTTCTTAAAGAATAGCATGCTGGAGCAGGAAGTTGGAGTAAGGAAGAGCTCAGTAAGAGCATAAGGCAGTTTGCCTACTGGAAAGATAATGAATCCATAGCAAGCAGGAAAGAAAAGCAAGTTCTACAAGATTTCTGCATAGGCTGTGATCACAACTCATGCACATTCGAACACAAATGACAGCAAGTAAATCCTGCTGGACCACGAAAACGCCTTCTAACTTGATAGAAAGAGCCTGGTAAAGCCAGGGAAATGCACTCTGGGGTCCATAAAGACCAAACCATACTCCCTGGTACTGGCTAAGAACAAGGGAACAATGGATAGATTTAATCACAAGGAGACCTATCTTTTTAAGAAATGTTACCAATTCAGGGAATAGAGAGCTCAGCAGCAGCCAAGAGCTGGCTGCTCTTGCAGAGGACCACGTTTCCTGTCACCTGCATTTGAGGTTCATAGCCACCTGCAACTCCAGTTCCAGGGGATCCAATGCCTGTTTCTGGCTTCCTTGGGCTCCTGCATATATGTGGTGCACATATTAGGTTCACACACATACACAAAATAATTTTTTTTAAAGTAATATTACCTTGCCATATGTCAGTTGCCTTAAATTGTATTTTAGCTACATTAGTAGGGGGAAGAAATATGTATCCCCCCCATCGTGTGTGTGTGTGTGTGTGTGTGTGTGTTGTTGTTGTTGTTGTTGTTTTTATATTTATAGTCTAGTCACCTGTCTTATCTGAGGCAAATCACTGTCTAGATTCTGGCTGGCACACGGCCAGTTTTGAGCCATTCACTCCAGTATTTGTGATGTCACTTTTGTTTGTGATGTGGGTGTGGGCAGGTGTTACATAATTAGATTTTATGATCAAATGATGTTAGAAAAAGCTCAGAAACTTCTGGAGTCTTCCTTTTCCCTTAAAGGCTTGGGAGAAAATCCTGATGTCCTTAGGGAGCATGCTTTGAGTAAAATAGCACCAAGCATGCAGACCATATTATGTGGGTGTAGATGTAGAGATCCATCCTTATGTACACACAAGTGCCCTTCTCCATGCACATAAAAGAGGGTACTTTAAATGATCAAAATAGCTGCCAAGGCTAGGGAACAGAAATGAAAGAACACATTCCTGTAGCACTGAGCACCTCTCCCTATGTCTCTCGCCCTAGGAGATGACATGGTTTCTGTGGTTCTATTTGGCATCACATGGCCAATGCAGTAATTAGAGCTGTTAGCACTGTAAAGGTCTGGAAATGAGAACAAAGACTGCCTCTTCCTGGGAACTCTTGGGCACTGCCTCACTCACCCCTTCTCAGGTGCTGGTCCTGTTGGTGGTTATGAGTTTTTTCTCATACACAGAACGCCAAAGACGGCTCCTTCCAGAGTGGGAGGGAAGTGACACTACGGAAAAACAAAGGATGAGTCTGGCAGGGACTCCTGGAATTGCCATGTGTTGCCTGTTTGAAATTTCAGCTGTTGTCCCTGGAGAGAATCAAAGCTGGCAAGCCGACTGCAACACAGGCTGCCCTGTGGTAGAGCCACCCCCAGTCCCATGGCATCTGGACCCACAGACACTTGGGAAAACAATGAGACCTATTCAGCAGCAAGCTCTGGCTTTACCTCCCAAGAGGTGGGTCAGTTTTAGAGCAGGCCACTGGAAAAGGTTTGTCTTTGGGAAGGGTTTGCAAATACCTAAAACCAGACAAGCAAACATCCTTCCAAACCCTAGAAAGATGGCACCACGCTTGTCGGTCTCCAGACCTCTACCATCTGTGTTCAGCTCTGCTTGGTAGACTAGTCAGCGACAGGAAGCCATTGTGAGAATCATTCTATTTTCCTTCCCTTCCCCAACTCCCCTCCCCTGTCCCAAGTCTCTTTGTGTAATGCTACCTAGATTGGGATCTGCAACTCATGATCCTCCTGCCTCAGCCTCCTAAGTACTGGGATTATAGGCGTTTGCCACCATGCCTAGTATTCTTCCCCATCACAAGTTTAGTTTTCTCACTTCCAAGGTTGTCCACCATGTTTACTGTATTAGTTTTGCCATTCATTGATGGAGAGACACAGCTTGGCTCCTGAGAAGCACTGGGAGCCTTCTGGCACATAGCCATTCACATGAGTGTCTCAAAACACACCCCCCATGCGGCCATTTGAACCTTGGGCCTCAAACATGCTAGAGACACACTCTATCACTGACCTCCAGCCCCAGCCCCATTCTTTATTTTTTATATTATTTTTAAAGATTTATTTTACTATTTGTGTGTGTGTGCGTGCATGCGTGTGTGCACGTGCGCACAAGTGGCCATGAAGGCCAGAGGAAGACGCCAGATCCCTTACAGGCATCTTTGAGCCACCATGTGGGTGCTGGAAACCAAACTCAGGCATTCTCAAGTGTGTGGCCATTGCTCCAGCCCTGCACTCTTCAACTTTGACTCAGTTCCTTCTCCATGTTCAGCATGGCTCACTTTCAGTTGACCACACCCTAGAGGTACACCTCATTCTTCTTAACCCAACCCTGAGTAACTTCACTTGTGCTATTTCTTCTGCATCAGTAAAATTAGTATGTATTGAATACCTAATGAAAGCCAGCTGCTGTTCAGGCTCGTGTCATGAAATGCTACCCACAGCCAAGTGGGTATGGGTGCTGCTACCACCCCTACTTTGCACATGAAGAAACTGAGTCACAAGTTGCTCAAAAACAATGCCCCAGGCCCTATGGCTAGTAGATCTAGCCACAATCTGCATAGCCCTTGCTCTGGGTCGCTCACAGTTGTCACAGTGACTCTGTCTTTTCTCTGGCTCGTTATCCAGCCACTGTCCCTGAGCTCAGGTCTAGTCTTGTCTGGTCCCAAGAGTTTCTCTAGGCTCAGAAATTGTTCTGATCTAAGTTGGTACCCCAGAGCCATCACTCAGAAGACAAATGAATGCACATCTCTGAACTGGACTGTTCTTCTCCGTGAGACAGGGATAGTAACAGCATCTTCAAAAGGTTCACCATGAGAACAAGGTGAAGCAATGCAGAGGGAGTTCCTGGCCCCCAAAAGCCAAATATGTAATAACCTTGCACTAGGATTCTGAAGGAAGAAGCATGGCACTTTTTGTCTTCAGGCGATACATACTGAATTGAGGGATATATCTATAGATAGTAGCTAGCAAGAGGGCTTAGCCATAGCTCAGCAGTAGAGTACTTCCTGCTCTTCCAGGGAACCTGAGTTCAGTTCCCAGAAGCTCACAAACACCTATAACTTTGTGGAATCTAATGCTTTTCTGCATCCTCCATGGACACCACACACATGGCATGCATTCATATAAATACATGTATACATAAATATAAATAAATCTATTTTTTTTTGAGACAAGGTCTCACCACATAGCCTTGACTGTCCTAGAACTTACTATGTAGACCAGGCTGGCCTCAAACTCACAGAGATCTTCCTGCCTCTGACTCACAAGTGCTGTGATTAAAGTCATGTGACACTACACCCAGCTTTAAATAAATCACTTTAAAGAGAAAGTCGATAATGAGGGTCAGCAAGATGATTCAATGAATAGATGCTTGCTGCCCGCCCGACAGTGCGGGCCTGCTGCCTGTGCAATCCTGCTGCCCGCCCGACGGTGCGGACCTGCTGCCTGTGCAATCCTGCTGCCCGCCCTGCGGACCTGCTGCCTGTGCAATCCTGCTGCCCACCCGACAGTGCGGGCCTGCTGCCTGCTCGGTGGTGCAGTCCTGCTGCCCGCCCGACAGTGCAGAACTGCAGCCCTGACAGTGCAATCCTGCTGCCCGCCCGACAGTGCGGGCCTGCTGCCTGCCAGATGGTGCAATCCTGCTGCCTTGAGTTCAATTGCCAGAACCCACATAAAGGTGGAAAGAAAGAAGCAACTCCACAAGGCTGTCCTCTGATCCCTACATATGTGCCACGGCACACACAACATGCTTATATCTCATACATACATACACACATATACACACATGACAACAGCAATAATAATAAAGTCAATTTTAAAGCAGATAATAGGGCTATTGAGATGACTCAGCAAGTAAGAGTGCTTGCCACTATGCCTGCTGACCTGAGTTTGACCTCCAGTGGAAAGAGAAAACCCACATCTGCAAGCTGTCCTCTGACCTCCATACACGTGCTGACACACAATAAATATTTCTTAAATCTTAAAAAGAAAGTAGATAATGCTTTTATCAGTGCTCCATTGTGACTATTGGCTTATCATCCCCTCTCTGGTCACTGTTGCCCATAGTCCTAAGTGGCACAATCCAACCTTTGGTATGATCCTCATCTCAGAGTTTTGTGTGAATCAGGTTGGCTTATAAAGCCAAACAATGAGCCTCTCTCAGATAGAAAAAGGATTTCTGATGCAGCTTGGCTATAATGCATCCCTCTTCTTACCTCCTCTCTCTCCCTCCCTCCCTCCTATAGCTAGGGAAGTGCTTGGCCGCTGAGCTCTGCCCCCAGCTCCACAGCATAGACGGAGTAGTCATTAGCTTGTGATTCACCTGACTGGAATTTTCTGGAATACTGCATTTTTGGAAAGTTCTTTGCTAGATGGTACGGGAAAGAGACAACTGTGGCTACAGTAAGGAAAGCGGTTAGGCTCTTCAGAGGGTCTTCCCTCAGAGGTTGTTAGGATCCTTAAGTCAGGCTCCAGATACTATTTGGCCCAGGTTCCTGAACCCACAGTGAGGGTTTTGGTCATTGGTATCATCATTTGATCTGGGCGGTGAGATCAAGTTCAAGGCAGTACCACCCTGAACACACATGGTTTGATCAATTGGAATCTGAGTTAGGCCTGGTTAGTGCTTGGGTAGGAGTGCTTGGGGTTGAGAGAGGAGGATGTTCCTATTGCCTTGTTCCTGTGTGTCCTGCTCTACGGACCTTTTTTATGGTATTCTGCTGAGCTCAGTCTCCTTGCTTCCCACATGTTTGGAGCTGAGCTCCTTGACATATGCGAGCTCATGCTTCTATTTGAAAACACATCTGTCCTTCTCTGATGCTCAGCCAAGCTTTCTTCCTAGTATTTTTAGCTCCTGTAATCTTTCTTTCTTCTCTTTAGTTTTTCTCAGCTATTATTTTCTTTCTGGAAGCCCAGCTAATCAAGAAGAGCGTGAGCCTGCTTTTATGAATCTTGTCTTCCCCCTTTCCGGCTCCGCCCTTCGAGTGCGGGTGGCATTCCCCCTTGTCCTGGCACACAGGCAGCAAATTCCCACACCCATATGGGGACACAACTGAGGTCCATGGTGCAAAAGGACAGAAAAACTCAGGAGAGAATGTGGAGAGTACTGCACTGTGATACCATGGCCTAGAGACATGTACTGAATGTCACCAGTTACAGGCCTTGCACCCGAAATGGTAACTGGTGTTCTCGTCACCTTGGGGCCAGTTGCCACCTGACTTTCAATTCAAGATTACTCAATTTCCTTATTTTCACCCAAACATACCCACACATTGTGCTTTGTACCAGGACCAGATTCTTTCTTTTCCCATACTTCATTAGAACAGTCAATTTCTGACTTTCTTGAATTTCCTGTCACTAGATTCCTGAGCTGGAAACCTGGGGAGGCAGGATCAGTAAATAACACGGTGCTGAGCCAGGCTTAACTCCAGAGAACAATCCGATGTTTGTTTGAAATATTGGGAATGGATGGGTATGTGTAGTTGTTCAGTGGTGAAAGCCCATGTGCTTGATCTAGACAGGCAGACAGAAAGACAGAGACAGAATTATTTTGTTCACCCTGGAGTTTTGGTGAGACTGTACTTTGTATCCAAGGCTGGCCTTCCACTGCCTTACCTGTTCCAAAATGCTGGGATTACAGGTGTGTGGACACCCAGTGTAGTCAGTACTATGTATGAAACCCACAACTTCATGCATGCAAGACAAGCACTCTAATTAACCTATATTCCCAGTCTCTTTTTTTTGTATGTGTGTGTGTGCGTGTATTTAAAATTGCATTATTCACTTAGTGTGTCTTTCTATGTGTGTGTGCCCGTGTACTTGAAGGCTTGAGTTTGGAGGTCAGAGGGCAATTTGTGGGAATCAGTTCTCTCTTTCTGCTGTGTGAGTCCCAGTGATCAGGTCACTAGGCTTGGTGAAGCATCTCATTGGTTCTCAGGGCCCTCCTTCTTAATACTTGGGGGAGGGTTCTGTGGAATATGATCTTATGATCATATGCACTGCAAAGCATAGGATTTTTTTTTTAAGACAGTGTCTCACTCTGTAGCCCTTGATAGCATGGAGCTTCCTGTGTTCGGACATGCTGGCTTCAAACTCACAGAGACCTTCCTGCCTTTGCCTCTAAACTGCTGTGCTTAAAGGTGTGCACCACTTTGCCTGGCAAGTAAAATCTCTAGAGGTTTGGGCCATACACCCTTGTGTTGTGCCTGTCTGCAACATGACAGTCTCTGAGCAAAATCATTCCAATTTTAAATGCCAGATTGACCCAAACCCCACCAACTTAGGTAGGCCTCCCAGGAAGAGGAAAAGGGTCTGACTGGAAAGTGTAAGCAGGCGAATAGACTCCGATGCAGCATCTTCCTGAAGGCAAAGGGCTACCGTGAATGTCCTCATTCTTCCCATGAAATCAGTCTCCGAAGCTCCCCAGGCATGCAAAGCACGGAAGTAAGCATCTGGGGCTGCTCCCCGTCGGAGGCCAACACCACATAACTGAGCAAAAGACCTTGAGCCCGTGAGTGCCATGACCTAGACACACTCAGCTGTATTTTTAGCCTCTCGTGGGATGTTTCCATCACCTGTGCTGGGCTTTTAGCTTCAGAGAGAAGGTGGGGGTAGGGAAGGTCAGGGGATGCCTCTGTCTCACAGCTGCCCAATGCGCAGGCGCTCACAGGCTGAATTACACACAGGGTCTCACTTTCATGAGTGTGCCTCCTGTGTAGTGACCAAGATCCAAAGGGCTTAGAAAAGCCGCAACTTTTGGGGGGAGAAGGTGCTCGAGACAGGATTTCTCTGCATAGCTCTGGCTGTCCAGGAACTTGCTCTGTAGACCAGGCCACCTTGAACTCAGAGATCCACCTGCCTCTGCCTCCAGAGTACTGGAATTAAAGGCGTGCGCCACCACCTCCACTTGACTTTGAAACCATTTTTTAATGCTCTGCTGTCATCATCTTGAATGTCTTCTGTTTTGTTTGAGACAGGCTCTCACTCTTTGCCACGAACATTCAACAATCCCTCTACCTCAGTAAGTCTGAACATAGAGTCTTGTATTTAGGGTTTCTCTGTGTAGCCCTGGCTGTCCTAGAACTCCGCTGTAGACCAGGCTGGCCTCCTGAGTGCTGGGATTAAAGGCATGCACCACCATGCCCAGCTAGAATCCTGTATTTCCACTTCCTGTTTAGCTGTACAAACTGTAGAGCTCATTCTTATTATACCAGAGCCTAATGAAAAGTTGTCCTGCAAGGGCAACTTTCTATACAGCCCAGGAGCAGAATCGTCTAAAGCTATCATCGGAAGCCTGGACACCCTGGGTTGGCCAAAATAACCTTGTTTTAAATCTTCTGTGTGTTCCGTTCCTATTTTCTCCCCTGACACCCAAAGGAGATACAGAGGCTAGTAAACTGCAGGGAACTTCAACTGCAGAGTACTGGCCTGCTGAGCTTCTCCCTAGCATCCCCATTCTTTTGGGTGCAAAACAACCTCGTGTTTTGGATGGGACCCAAAGACTCATGTTAGACTGCTCTCTCTCTCTCTCTCTCTCTCTCTCCAGATGTGAGCCTGCCTTCCTTCAACAAATGTTTAGGGTTGGGGTTGTAGATGTGACTCAGAATGCTGGCCTAACATGCACAGAGCATCGTTAAGCTGGTTTCTCTACAGTACTCTGGGGTGTCTAAGACGCACACACACCCTGAACTTGGGCTGTCCTGTCAAGAGCTATGTCCTCAACACTTCCCATGTTCCTAACTATGCATCTTTATTTTGAGACTGTGTCATGTAGCCCAGACTGGCCTTGTTTTGTATATCTGAGGATGACCTTGGATTCTCTTGTTTCTCCTGCCTCTACCTCCCTAAAGCTGAGATGACAGGCACCTGTGTGCCGGCCACCTTGCTTATTTGGTACTGGGGGTTGAACTCGGGTCTTTTGGCATGCTAGGTGAACACTCTACTGAGCTATATTCCCACCCCATTACTGATTATTTGTTGAAGCGGAGCGGGAGGAGCAGGTTCACCTTTACCTAGAGTCTGCACCATTGTTACCTGTTCATTTTCTTCCCTTTGAAGGTGATTCAAGCCAAGAGTACAGAGACCTGGGATCTTGCCAGAGGAGCAAAAAGGCTGGTGTTGCGGTGCTTTTCCTGAGGAGGCTGAACAAACACCCAATAGTCCTAAATTTAGCTCTGACAGTACGCAACGAAGACTCCACCCACGCCCAGTTTTGTGAACCAATACATTTATTTGGCTTTACTACGGGGACTTGAGTGACTCAAAAGCAGGCATCCCACCAAAAAGCCCTATCCTACCTGGGTAACAACCTCCGAGAAAACAGCCCTGTGGAGAGCTGCCTTCAGCTGGCCTTCCAAATCCTGTGTGCTCTAGCTGCATCTCCCGAGATCACAAGCACCTGGGACAGAAGTGAGGCTGGAATCCCAGGTTAGGATGCTGTGACATGCCCTTCCTCTAGAGAGGGTGTTAGCAGTCCTTCGCGGTTATCGCATACTAAGTGATAATTTTACCGCACTTGTTCCAACTGTGGGCAGAAACTCTCTCTGCTTAGTAATGACCAATATTCATGGTTCATGTTAGGCCCTGAGTAAAAAAATTATACAACAGACCCACGTGTGGAACATGGAAGCTGTGTTCTCACTAGCAGGTGGAGGGTGTGTCCACTGGTTAGTGGGGGCGTCCACTCAGGAGCACCGAGGGTTCTTGAATTCAGGGACTACAAGGAAAACAAACAATTGAACAAGATTCTTCTTGCCACAGCTCTGGATGGTGTGGGTGGAGAGGGACAGAAAGGCAGGCGCCTCGTGGGAGGTAGCTACGCCCTTGGGGCCCCTGCTCTGGAAGCTTCCTCGTGATTGTGGCAAGGCTGGGGGAACACAGGCCCAGCAAGAGGGCAAGGGGCACAGGAATGGGTGTACCCCATGCAGGCCAGGGAATCTCGCAGGGCTACGACCGCCCAGCCCTGCTCCGGGTGCAGTGAGTCGGCACAGGAGGGCAGATGTTCCTGCCGCCCATCAGGGCGCAGGCCCGCACTTGCCTGTCCGGGACCAAGGACTTGAAAGCTCCCGGTGTGAGGCCCGGACCTGTCCCGTCGTGCGTCACCTTGGCGCTTTGGGAGGGAGCAATAGGAAAATCCAAGCTGCCTGGGGGTGTGAGGAGGAGGAGGAAGGAGATTCGAGACACGGGGCGGGGTGGGGGAGAGAAGGGTGAGGGGAAAAGGTCCTGCCTCACGGAGGCCAAGTTTAAGCCCCCAGCTTTCTGGAGCCCCAGTCCCTGGTGTGCAGAAGACACAGCGCCTGCCCCATCGAGTTGAGCATTTTAGTTGCTTCTATCTCTTTGAATCTTGAGGTCTTTCATTGTCCCTATTTTGCTGATGGTTGTACAAATACAATATATAAATAGTGTCACTCATTTTATGATAATCAAAAATAATTTAACCGAGAGTGGGGGTACACACCTTTAATCCATCACTTAGAAAGCATAGGCAGAAAGATCTCCGTGAGTTCGAGAACAGCCTGGTCTACATAGTTCCAAGTCAGCCAGGACTGCATAGTGAGAGCCTGACTCAAAATAATGATAAAGAAGAAGAAGAAGAAACTGGTACAATGGCCCAGCAGTTAAAGGCAATTGTTATGAAGCCTGACGTCCTGAGTTCGATTCCCAGAACCCACATGGTACAAGGAGAACGGACTCTGTCAAGTGGTTCTCTGACCTCAGGCATGCGCCCACACACATACACACATGGACAAAATAATGTATGTATATTTTACCCCAAACAGCTCTGACTGTCCTGGAACTCGCTTTGTAGACCAGGCTGGCCTTTAATTTACAGAGATCCACCTGCCTCCTGAGTGCTGGGATTAAAGGCATGTGCCACCACTGCCCGGCAATAAATAAAATATTTTTTAAAAGAACAATAAGTTGTCCTAGTTGACACAGGATGCGATAGGATTCTATACAGGGCTCAGTGTGCTGTCGCTTTGATAGCTGCAGGACTTCTCCAGGAAGAAAGAACTCCACATTTTTTGAGCTCCTGCTGTGCTAGTGTGTGCTTTCCAGGCACCATCTCATTTTGGACAACCGCCTTGGGGAACAGATGGTGTTGACACTCCACTTAGCAGAAGGCAGCCCCGTTTCCTTTAAACTTGTACAAGATCTTATGAGTGACCAAGTGGGATACGAGCCGAGGGGGTCTAACAAGCCTTGGCTAACCATGAGCCTAGCAAGAGAAGGCTGTTTGGTTACTACCGCTGTGGTGGAGCCCGCGCGTGGGTCACGACCCAGGTGAGAGTGGAGCTGGGGTCATTGGGCGTCCGGCTTGTCACCCCCGCCAACCCTCAATGAAGGCAGGGTCGGGTCCCAGGTCCCACCCTCACCTGTAGACGCCTCACCTCCAGTGGCCTCGCCTAGCGGCCCCTGGGGGCGGAGTCAGGAGAGGCGGGGGCGGGCTCGGGGGCGTGAGTGGCAGGCGGCGG